GGGTGGGTCATGTCATTTTTGGAAGGAGGGAGGGTTTGAATGAAATCAATATATTCATGTGACATGTCTAATTTCTATTCATCAGGGTTTTCTCAATGCCTGAAAGCTGTCTTGATCCAGCTCAGTTCTACAGGAAGATCTGTTAAATGGCAGAGCTCAGGAGAAAGCTGCCAAACTTTGCCCATCTAGGGTAAGTTGTGGATAGTCAGAAGAAATAGGGGATGGGTAGCCTGAATTTTGGAGACAGCTGTTAGCACCTCTGTGCTACTAAAACAAGTTTTCACTAATCAGTGGATCAAGCTGCTGATTATGTGATAAAGCAGGGAGAGAGTGATAACACTGTTGTCAATTCATCACCAGCTACTTCCACCTCAATTGTCAGTTCAGTAGTTAAACTAAATATTTTACAAAATAAGGCTGATTTATCACCTCCCAGATGACAGCACAGAACCAAACACAGAGCTGTTATTTCAGTAGAGGAGCTAAGGTAACTCAAATGGTCATTTCACTTTTCTCTGCCATTCGAGCACTTAAACCTTTTCTGTCATGGCCAATTTTAAATAGGTTGGATATTTATTGTGTTGAACTCTTTTAAACTGTGCGTGTGTGGGAGGGGAGGGTTTCTGAGGGGAAATGCTGCACATGTAATAGTCCCTGCTGGCTTTCTAAAACAAGTTAACATTGTTTGACCTAAAGTGAATAAACCCTCAGCAGAACTGAGGCCGATGACTTTATCTGTTAGACTCTGGCTCCTCTAATTTAAAACAAATGAAAGAATGTAGATAGTTTAAGTGAATGCAGAAGAAATTTGAGTGATTTTTTTCCCCTAGACCTTTAAAAAGTAGGAAATCCAGCTGTAAACAGGCATGGTGTCTTCAGAAACGTTGTCACTGTTGTTATTCCACAGTGACAGTTTCCAACAGCAAAGCATGAAAAACAAGTTTTGCTTTGCTTATGGTTTCAGAGTGTGTCAGTAGATTTTCATTGCTAGGAACCCAACTTAAAAGTATTAAGTGAGTTCTGCTGGGCTCCTCCTAGCCATAATCTTGCTTGCTCAAATTTTACACTGCAACTCATTCCCTTGGGCTCACTGAATTATACTTGAAATTGTTTTTGTCTCTGGCTGGATGATAGTAAATTCCTGCAGGCTTGAACAATTTTGTATTTCTTTACAGAGTACCAAGTTTGCTGTCAGAGGTAAAATACTAATGCCACAAACCCACCAAAATGTATCCAATCCCAGACTAAGAATAGCAGGGATGGTTACTGTGAACAACTGAGCTAATTGCTGTAAAAGCCATGTGTCGGACTGCCTTGGTGCACTTTGGTAGCTTCACACAAACACGTCTGGGTTCAGTTCAGGAAGATTATACCCAGACATAGACAAGAGCATTAGTAAGTACTAAGTTAAGTTATGAATTCACAAAGCATCAGAAACTTTTCACCTTTGGACATATTTTTCATGGAAGAATAACTTTTCTCACTACTTTGTTACCCTTTCTCTGAGGGGAAATGAAGCCTCCTTCCTGAACACAGCTTCCTCTCAGTTTGGTGATGGTTCAGGGATGCTGGCCAGGAAGAACAGTCATCTCGCTGTCTACTCCTGGCTTCTCTTTGTGCTTTGGACTTTGTCACCCTGACCACATGAGGAGCAGTGTCCTGACAGACACAGCTCTCTCTTCACACCTAAGCTTCGTTATCTGAGAAGACTATGCTGATGAATAAAAGACACATCAGCTGAGACGTTGGTTTTCACAGCATAGGTAACTGGTTCCCAAAAGTGGTCAACTGCCAGAAGCCAAATAGTTCTTTCTCCCTAAAGTGCAGCAGGATAAGAACTAGATACCCAGACTTCCACCCAAGTATAACGTTACCCTCTGTTGGCACTCTCAGGCAGTGATTTTCCCTGAGAGCTATCCTGCAGAGCACTGTATGCACTTGTAGTGGGTTTCTGTGGCTAGGTTTTGGTAGCAGGGGGGAGTGGCTACAGGGGTGACCCCTGTTAGAAGCTACTAGAAGCTTCCCCTGTCCCATGGAGCCAATGCCAGCCGGCTCCAGGACAGACTTCCTGCCACTGGCCAAGACCGAGCCAAGTAAGAGTGATAGTAACACCTCTGGGATAACATTTAAGAACACAAAGTTGTTGCACAGAAATAAAGTTCCAGCCAGGGAAGAGAGGAGTGAGAACACAGGAACAATAATGCAGACACCAAGGTCAGTGCAGAAGGAGGGGCAGGAGGTGCTCCAGGTGCCAAAGCTGTGGCCCCTGCAGCCCGTGGTGCAGACCATGGTGGAGCAGCTGTGCCCCTGCAGCCCATGGAGGACCATCAGGGTGCAAAGACCCACCTGCAGCCCATGGAGGAGCCCATGCTGGAGCAGGTGGATATCCTGTGACCCCATGGGAGGCCCAGATGGAGCAGGGACCTGCAGCCCGTGGAGAGGGAAGCCCACGCTGGAGCAGGTTTTTCCCAGGTAGGACTTGTGGCCCCTGTGGGGGACCCACACCAGTACAGCTCATTCCTGAAGGACTGCACCCCATGGAGGAGTGACCTACAGGACAGTTTGGGAGGAACTGCTGCCTGAGGGATGGACTCACGCTGGAGAGGCCCATCAAGGACTGTCTCCCGTGGGAGGGACCACACGGAAGCAGGGGAAGGACTCCTCTCTCTGAATAGCAGCAGAAACAACAACTGACAGTAACCCCATTCCCTGTCTCCCTGCACCGCTGGGGGGGAGGAGCTAGAACTTGGAAGGAAGGAGGGGTGGGGGGAAGGTGTTTTTAAGATTATTTTACTTCTCACTCTTTTGCTCTGATCCTGTTAGTAATAAATTCAATTAATATCCCCACTTTGAGTCTGTTTTGCCAATGAAGGTAATCAGTAACTGACCTCTCCCAGCTCTTTACTCATGAATCCTTCGCTGTTTTTTTTCTCTCCTCTGTCCAGTTGCAGAGGGGAGTGAGAGACCAGCTTTAGTGGCTACCTGGCATCCAGCCAGGGTCAACCCACTACAGCACTTAAAATGGTGTTACTTTCTAAGGGGTATTGCTAAACACCCTGTGACTGGTGGAGACAGCTGACTGAAGCGTCAGGATGTCAAAATCCTCTATTACTGTGGACACAGTGGTAGGCCTTGATGCAATTCTCTTTGGCAGTACTCTGAAACAGTTTAAAACCATCAGCATCCAGGGCCAAGTGAGGTAGGTGTGATCTCCTGTGAGGAGAAGAATGAAATAAAAGAAAGGAGACACATTTGTCCGACTTCAGTGTAGCAGGGGAGCCAAAATGTAGGCATGGCAGCAATGACACTTATTTCTGTTGCCATAGTGTAGGTGATAGGAACATCCATAAAGTGAAAGAGGAATATTGTAGTAGTTACCAAGAAAACAACTGTGATGTCTAGGATGCATAATGCACTAGTGCTAGACAGGAAACAGATGCCTATATCACAATCGAATCACAGGAATCTCAATGCAGAAATCCATAAGGAAAACAACCTGCAGTTGCAGACAATGGTCATATTACTACACAGCTCTAGTAATGATTTCATGGCTTTTTACATGTCTAGAGAGGGACTGTCTACTAGCTGCAGTATCTTGCAAGTATCAATGAATGAAAAACGTATGTGTAATCCACTACTCAAACTCCCATTCTGGGGAGAATCTAATGAATCATTCTCATGCAGGGCACCTATCAGGATCCTTGGGAGTAGGAATGCTGTTAGACTGATGCCAATGGTGAAAAGGCTGTAGTCAGGCTGCACACCACAGTGTTTGCAAACATTGTCCAGGAGGTAGTAGTATTCCTTATGTACAAAAGACAGGACATAGCAGGTGTCCAGGTTCAGCCTGAACCTCTCAAAGCAGGCTCTGACTGTGAGATTAAAGCCACTAGGGACTAGGGTAGAAAGTCTTATCAGAATGATCATTACCTCAGGAGCTCCTACAAGTGACAATTTCTGAGAGCAAACATTAGTACAAACATCTACTTGCCAAAAGTGTATCTCCTCCCACTCACTCTTCTTTTCATCCCCAAACTCAGGCCCTGTTAAACTTGGACCTTTTCCTACTTAACTTTTCAGACTTCTCCTTAGAAGAGAAAGTCTTGTCCTTATCCCAGCACAAAATACCCAAGATTTACTGCTATCTCCCACTACTGCCTATCTAATCTCTACTCCACACTAATCTAATCTAAAGAGTCTCGCAAAAAACCTGCTCTCGCTTTAAGTTCTGTTTCTCTCCACTCCTGTTGTTGTCTAACCCAAAGGTTGGGCATTTGGGACTGGCTGTGGCTGAGCCTTCTCAGTGACCATGCCACCTCAGATCTGACATATCGTGGTGGGCTGCAGGTGGTGAGAAGAGAGAGATCCTTCAAGATGGCAAGGACAACGTAACTGCTTGGCAAGTGAGTTGCTTCACCTGGGTGCAGGTTAGATGTCTACACACTTGTACCTGAGAGAGAAAGGCAGTGCCTGTGCGCTGCTAGAGGTGGTTGTTATGCGCTATCTGGGAAGGAGGCAGGTACCTAAAATATATTTAATGTAATGAATTTCAGTCCTCCATTCTACCTGTCCAAGTGAATTTTCATGTCTACAGTTTAGCCTCTAGAATATCTATGTTCTCAAGACATAAACATGTTCATTCAGCAAATGATAGTTCAAGAAGATAGAGCCCAATAATTGTGCCACCACTGACCCAGTAGAATAGACAGAACAGAACAACTGAGCACATCTTAGCCCCTGGACTGCTGCACAGGCTCAACTCTGCCTACTGTGGCAATTTAAATTCAGCTGCTAGATTTTGCACTGAAGTGGCTGAGATGCCCTCAAAGATGTCTGCAGTAGCTCTCCTGTGGGGATGATACTCTTTAGCAAGGAGTGATAATAAACAGTAGGACGGTGCTAACACTTTAAGCTGCTGCAGCTGTCTGCTAAGTGAGTACGTGTCAACACCTTCAGACTGGAAGGTGAGAAAGTGAAATTATAGCTTTCAGTTACCCTAATTCTGCTTTTGCAATCTCTTTTATTAAATCCATTTCAGGGGTGATTAAGGGACTCAGAAAGTTTGCTTGTGTGTTATGAATCCAAGAAAAGGAGCTTGCATCCTTCTATAACTTATTATTGTAACTATGACACCATATTTAGAATGAAGAATTACAGCAGCATAGTCTTATACATGAAAATCCTAAAACCAGCCCAGCATTTCAAACAAAAACAACTGACACTAAAAAAAAAGAACATTGAATATGAGGAAGAAAATTAAGTACACAGTTTACAAAGATTTGTGTAGCATAAATATTCTTTTGATAATTACACAAATATAACCTCCTCAGAGTCAATAATAAGATCTAGTCCCTCAGCCTAGCAATGATGTAATTTGTGATTCTAGGATCACATTTTCCTCTGTGATATTTTCATGTCCCTGTTATAGCTTGAAAGCTGAAGCTAGAGAAATTGATGGGCAATGTAAAAAAAGTAAAAATGGAGGATTTGTCACTGTATTGATGTAGTTGTACTGATATAAACAGAGACTTCTCAGATACTATACAATCACTCAGTCTACTTATGGTTTACTCTCTCTGAGACATTTTGTAAATTTGACAATGGTCTCTATGGATATTAGTTATGATCCTAATTTACATTTGGAGTCATTACTGTGGTTCCTATAGAAAAAATTATTATGAATACACAGAACCAATTTTGTATACATCATGGATTCTTGATGATGTGTGCACATGCAGACTGAGATGTTGACTTCAGTGGAGAGAGCAGTATTCAACTGAGCACACAGCTACACTTCTTGGTTCTGTTTGATAACAGATTCTCAACAGGAAAAGTGCCCTGACTGTTCCCCTTCTCTACCCTTCAAAAATCTCAAGTGACTTTAATTTTGGTCTTTTCAACTTCTTGACAACCATTGAGTGGACTATATTATAACAGGTCTGGATGGCAAATAAATCTTTAAATGCTGTATGACAGTGAGAAATGATTAGGGATCTGGGCAGAACTCTCCTGCAGATTTTCAGCTGGACAGCAGTATGCTTATTTAAAACATGTACATATAGTCTCTGGTCCAGGTCAGGTTCAGCCACAAAGTAGTCTTTAACAGCAGAAATTTATGAGGAACTCAATTTTTTTCAGATACTACTACACATTTTTAACTGTATATGAAATCCACAGCAGCAGCACACAGTACTGTAGGTAAGCACCTGAAGCAGTGCAACTGGCCATGAGTTGTAACACCCTTTTAAACTTGGCAGATGTGACCTTGGTTGACAAGAATTAGCATATGGGCCTTGAGAGTTTTCCTCCAGCTACTGGAAGTAAGCTCTTTCTTCGGTTTTCTGGATACCAATATTCATCCCTGCTCACTATGCAATTGCTGATGGATGTTTGTTGATGACCAGTCCAGTCACCTCTTTTCAGAGATAGCGATCTCACGATCAAGAGTAGCACAGTAAAAAACTACCATAATCCAAAACTTTACTATTGTTCTGAGAACACGAACTAGACATAACCTTTTGTTTCACTGACGACCTTTACTCCTTCTTACAAATGCTTTGTTTTTCTTTGTTCTCTTTCACAGAGACCTTGTTCAGCCTCTACGCTGGAAAACACAATTCTAGAGAACGAAATTAAAAATCACACACTCCGATAACGATAAAGTATAGAAGATGTTTAAAATCACCGCCTTCGCGGAGACAACAAAACCAAGTTCCCCCAAGACTTGAGTCGGGTCCGTCCAGAGCCAGTCCAGGGGCGGTCGCAGTCCCGGCCCTCCCGAAGCCAGGTGCAGGTGGAGCTGGCGGCAGAGGCACCAAATCCTGCGTTAGGGCGGAAAATCTGAGCTCGTTCCTGAGTGAACACCCTCCGAAAACGCCCAGGGAAGGCGCAGCACACGCCACCGCCCCAGGCCGTGCTGGCGGGCGGGGGCCGGCGGGGCTCTGCGCTCCCCGGCCGCAGGGCGGGTGCCCTGGACGGCAGCCGGGAGCCAGTTCCTGCCCTCGCGGTGTCGTCTGAGGAGGTGGGTGGATTTTTGGAGGGAAGAAGAAACCGCCAGCCTGGAGGCGGGGGAAGAGGACGGGGACGTGATCCCCACCGGCCCCAGCGGCGGAGGCAGCGGGAGCCGCCAGCGCTGGGAGCGCCGCGGCGGGGGAAGGGGCCGGAGCCCCGCGGGCCGCCGAGTAAGAGGGGCAGGCGGAGGGACGTGGGGCAGCGCTGCCAGCCCCGCCCGGTCGGCTGGGGGTGGTGGTCGCCCCTGCCCCTGTCAGGGCGGGGGCCGCGTGTGGCGATGGGACGGAACCGGGGCCTTCCCGGTGATGGGGTTTAACGGGACGGGGCGGAACGGGGGCCGTGCTGGGGCCCGGGGGAGCGATCGTGGTGAGCGGCGCAGGGGAAGCGGCACAGCCCCCGCGCCTTCGGGAGGGCGCCGGCTGGAGCCCCTCGGCACGCCCGCGGCTCCCCCGCTCGCCGAGCCCGGGCCAGTGCCCAGGTAGCCGGGGGAGCTCGGGGAGGAGCCCGAGGGGGCGCAGCTGGCGCGGCGCGATGGCCCCAGCGCCGAGACGCCCTAATTGGCGGCGGGGCCGCAGCAGCCGCCGACTGCCGCTGTCGGGGCGAAGCGGCGTCTGTGCGGGGGGAGGCCCGAGGGAGGGGCGCGGGCGGGGCGTGGGGCGCGGTGGTCTGATCGCGAACGGCTACGGCTACGTCGACGGGGGGAGGGAGCCGCCTGTGAGCGGGGCAGATCCGCGTGAGAGACAAAAGCCCGGCACGGCCTCGCTGCCGCCGGAGAGGTCTTTTGTTGCCGCTTCTTCGTCGGGGCTCTTCCCGCCGCCTCCGCTCAGTCACACCGCTGGATACGGCCAGGGCAGCAATCGCGAGCCGGCAGCGACCTCCTTCCCGGCTCGGAGAGCGAGCGGCCCCTCGGCCCCGACCTCCACCAGTTGATCAAAGTTCGGCCGGGCCGGGCCGGGGAGCGGCTCCACCGCCCCCGCCGGCCGGGGCTGCCCGGGAAGCGCTGCCCCGTCCTCACTCCCTCCGGCGGCGTGTAGCGAAGTAGGAGGGAGCGGACACCTCCCGCCTCTCCCCGCCTGCCTTCTCCTCCCCGCGGCTGGGGCTCGGGATAGGAGGAGCCGGAGGAAGAGGAAGATGACGATCGGGTGCAATTAGCCTAACAAGGGACGGGCGGTGGAGGCGGCGGCTCCTTGCCGAGGACTGACACATCTGCTCTCTCTCCTCCTCCAGCCATGAAGGCAGAAGCCGGGGAGCGCAGCTGAAGCCCAGGGTCGTTCCGGCGCTCTTCCCTATGGCAACCGCGTGAAGGGGCCGAGCCCCCCTCCCCCGGCGGCGGGGCTGGGCTGGCCGAGCCTCGCCTGCTGTGTGCGAGAGCGGCTCTGGCGTTGACTCCCCCTTTCCTGTCCGTTCCCTTCCCCGATGTGGGCTCCAGAGGATTTGCGCCTCCTTTGTAACCGGGAATGAAATAATGGCGACCCGGTGGGCAGCGGGGCCACCCGGCGGAGATGGAGACAACGAGCCCCCCCCGGGCGGCGGCAGCGGCGCCGGCGGCCAGGTAGGAGCGGCGGGGGCGGGCGGGGCGCGGGCCCGGCCGGGCGGCCGCCTCCCGCCGCGGGGAACGGCTTGGCTGGAGCGGGCTTAATGGCCGCCCCCTCTCTCCCTCCCTCTCTCTCTCCCTCCCTCCCGCTCTTCCTGCCCGCCCGCCCCGGAGTTGCTGGGAGTTGGACGCTGGGAGTGGTGCGGCTCCCCGGCAGCGGAGAGGAGGCAGCCGCCCGGCCGAGCGCTCTCGGGGCGCCGCTTCGGGGTCGGGCGGCGGTGGCGCCTCTGCTGCCTCACGGGCCGGGCGGCGGCTCCGCTTCCCGCCCCGCGGAGCCGCCGCCGCCCTCACCCTCGGGACGGCGGTTTGCCCGGGGTCAGCCCTTGGGCCCCTCGCTCCCCACCCGACCTCTCGGTCGGATCGCGGCGTGTCGCCCCTACGCCCGACCTGCTCGCCTTGTCCCGACGCCTGTGCCCCGTCCCCGAGGGACGGGAGCGCTTCGCTGGGCGGCACCGAGGGTACGGCTCCGTCCCTGTCACACAAATCTACTGGGGTGATTTTGAGTAGAAATAAGGGTCCAGACTCTGCCTCCTTGTACCCAGTACTTGCCAAGCTCCTGCCTGTCCGTAACGGCTTATATTAAACGTATTTCTGTCCGTAGCATTTGTTGCTGCTACGATCGTCTCCGTCTGTTTCGTTCAAAAACTTCATAGTATGCCCTGTGGTGGCACCATTGCATGTTTTGACTCGCAAGACAAAGTTTTTAACGCAGAACCATGTCTGATGCTTCTTTCTGTGCTCCCTATTAATAGTATAAGTGTCTATGAAACAACTGCAACTTCAGATCCAACAAAATACATGTAAGAGTTTCAGTAGGCTTGTTTTAAGATCTGTCTTAAACTTTATTTACAGACAAACGTGCTTTTGTATTTCTCAGGGTTAGGGCATGTTGTGCTAAAGTCAGAAAGCAGATTTAAATCTGCATAGGACTGTGAAATAAACACCCCTTTTGTTTGCTGAAATTGAAACACGGTAGAGTGATTTTTAAACCTACAGAACTTAAATTTTAAAGTATGGGTGATTTTTGGGTTGGTTGTGGGTTTTGTTTGTTTGTTTGTTTTGGTGTTCTGTTTTGTTTTGTTTTCCCCCCTTTGGACGCTGAGTTTTAGTTTATTGCTATCCTCAGTTCACCCTTTTGCCTTGGTTTAAAAGTGGCACATATGGTATTGTAAGATTTTCCTTTCTCCTGTCACCTCATTTAAGAGATTCACACAGTCTCTTAAAGCAGGTGGGTTAGGTGAGGACGGAACTGGATCCTAAGTAAGGACACAGAAAACGTTAAGACTGTGATAAAATGTGGTTGAAAACGTGCTATGTTTGAAGAACCTGTCCTTCAATACTGTTCAAATAGCGTGGGAAGAGGGGGGACACCACATGTCTAAGGGTAAAAATTAAAATCTGCTCTTTAATTCTATCATATTGAAACTGCTGGTCTTTTGGCACTGGCCCTTGTCATAATCCACCTATCCCTGCTGTAGTAAGCCCCAACAAGGCCTGTGGCACTTTTGGAGCTCATCACGTTAAAGCTGTCTAATTGGGGACTGCTACTAGGTGTGGAATTGCAAAATGGACTCCTCTGCCTGTTGTTTTACGTGGTACTTACCCATACATGTTGCAGTTAAAATGTAACTGCTAGAAAACATGCACTTAGGCTGGTGATTGCCTTAATCACAGCAGGCCTGATGTAATCTTTGCTTGAACTTAGACAGTCCTCCTGAATGTCTGATCGAGGTTGTGTTCCTTTCTCTGTTACCTTAATATTGCTGCATGTCTTAAAGTTCAGTTTATTTTCTTACAATTTTTTTTTCATAGATTCATGTAAAATGCCAAGAGAGAGGGAGGATTTGTGATTTGGCATCTGCTGTCTCAGTTCAGTAGATGAAATAGTTACTCTGTACAGTGCTTGATGTGCTATATGTGAACAAATCCCTTTAACTGAAGTCTTACTTGTTTGTACTGGACAGTAAGAACGGCTTTTCTGTTTAAAAAATCAGAAAACACCTTTAATGAAAGACAATTACTATAAAAATGGAATTTTAAGTTCTCAAAAAAATTGCTGCAGTTACAGGGTTTGACATGCAAGATATTAGCAACTTTGGGATATGATTTATGGTTTTGGGACACTGTATCCCATATGGTGTTTGCATGGTAATGCAGTAATTAACTCATTTGATTTTTAGCTGTAGACCTGTACATGTGGCAGGTTGTCACGAGGAAGACCATAGCACTTGTTCATCACAGTCAGGGGAGTTGCAGCAAATTAGGATTGTCAACCAGTTTAAGGTTTTGGAAATACACAACTGTAATCATCAAGGTTTCAGCAAGAACTGAAGAACTTGTCCTCTGGCTTCAAGATCAGTGGTCAGACAAAGAAAGGGCATGTCTGACTGAGAAGTGGTGCTTCTGCATATCTTTGTGTACAGAGGTGGGAGAATAGAGGACATGCGATTTGAGTCTTCTAGGTACTGCATGCATTGGTTGATAATTGTGTTTTGTTTTGGACGCTTGTCTAATCTGATATTAAGTTCCATTTGGTCATACCTTGCCATGGTTTCTGTTTTTATTTTCACTTCATTTTTTTTTCGTTTTCCCTTTGACATTGTACCTGGTGGTCTTTCTCACTTCAGAGCCCCTTCGCTGAAACGATTGTTGAGAACAAAGATTGCGCGTTCAGGCTTGCAGGCTCCCGTCTGAACATGGAGCGCTTGCTCAAAGGGACAGGTCACGTATTCTGGGCTCTGGGGAGAGCTGGCAGAGAGGGCCAAGGACTCTCAGGGCTGTTTGCCATTCCGTTTGAAATCTGACACACGTTTACAAATGGAAGAATTGCTGAGCTTATGTTCATAAGGACAGATAAGCTAGAGCGTGTTCTTTCTGGCTTTTAGATTAATAGGCATATGCTATCTCTGTTTCGTCAGGTTGTAGCGGTGTTTTGCTGGAGTGTTTAAGCCCTGCTGAGGTACAGGCAGTACTGCTTCAGTCACAACATCCCATCTACAGGCCTGTCCGGATTTGAGGCTGGAACTGGCTTCTCTCTTAGTGTCAATTTAATTTCCTGTCCTTTGCCTAGAAAGGCACAACAAAATCTGCCCTTTTATTTTTTTTTTTTCTTTTCTATTCCCACTGTTTTGCATTAAAAGAATTGCCAGGTCTGTTTTTGCTATAATTTACTGTTCTGAATGTTAAATGCAGGATGAAAAAATTAGTAACCACAGCATGTTTAGCTTTAAAAGTCAGATTTTAATTCTTAGTAATACTATTTCCTCAATTTATGAATATTAAAAATACTTTGTCAAATAATTCCATTAAGACTGTTTGATATTTTTCTCTTGGAATTCATTAGAGCACACATACATTTATATATTTATTGCAAATTTCTAATACTTTACTGCAAATTTGCAGTAAGAGTGTGAGGTTTTGGGTTTGTGGGATTTTTTTTTTTGTTTTGCTTAACAGCTGAGTTGTTAGGAATAGTGACTTGCCTTTGGAGATTCCCAAGAGCTTCTGCGTTTGGCAATAGTTAGGAATACATTTCCAAAGACTTCTGTAAAAGAAAAGTCAGGTTATTTAGTACTTGCTTTTTAATCACAACTGTTCAATTTCAGAGAAGGGAAAGAAAATCCCACAATATTGTCACTCCTACACCTTAT